TGTGTGTGTGTCTGTGTGTATTTTTCTCACAGGGCAGACAGACAGTAAAAGCAGTGACAATCACCCAAACAAGAAGAACTAAATCTATGTTTCAGGACGTAGTGGAGAACAAATTACCTCAGTGGAAAAGAGACACTTGTTGCAATAAAATAAATGAATGCAGTCATATTGTTGATGTGGGAAGATGAGGACACAGTTTTCTTGCTGTTCAACTGGTTTTAATCATTAGAAATATGCTGCAATGTGACGGTTGCTTTTTTAAAAATGATTGTGTGTTGCAGATTAGAGAGTAATAAACACCCCCTCTGAGGCTGTCCCCACCACCAGTAGTACACTGTTCTCACTTGGCTTCTTAATCATGAGGAAGAGGAGCCGAATGTGCCCTCCATTTGGGGTCATAGGCTACCTCAAACTCTTTGGTTATCAAACAACTTTTTCTAACAACATACTACTCTATATAAAGTGTATATAAATGTATTAGCTATGTATAGCTCAAACATCAATGTATTGCATGCCTGTGTGTGCAGATTGTGGGTCAGGCATTAGCAGCATATAAAAGCACAAAAAAACAACAATATGTAAAATATAATACAAAAAACATGGTAACAACCGGTTAAATTACACATATATTGATATTGAGCTACATATAACCCTGCCTACTCAACTATCTTTATGGGGTTACATAACAGCCAGTGTTTTCAATTTTGCCTCAAGCGTGGTTTGTAGTCTGTTTAATGCTATTAGGAACTTTATTCCAAATCCAATAACGTCTACCCATCTGGCTACTGCGTCAGATTTGTTACACTGGACCTGGTGTTGAGCCTGTGAGCCTCTCTGACTCTTCAAGCTTTACGATCACTCATGTAGCGAGCGTGCTAATGTTAGCATGGAGCGACGCAGGCAGTAACCTGCCAGGTACATGTGGATGGATTTGACTCTCAAAACTTTATTTCTTTCAAAAATTCCAGTCACTAAATGAACTAAATATACATTTAAAGGGGACAACTCTCTCCCCCTAAATGCAAACAATCCTCCTCATACATTTCACGTTACACGACCACTGTTTCTTACCACCTTTTAAAAGGTGACATTTCTTGTTCATCATGGATTACAGCTGACATTTGCAGCCTAAAATGCCGCGCGGCCTCGACCTGTTAACTACCACGGCGCTTTGCTGACATGCTTGATTGGCAAATCAGTGTCTCGTTATCAGCGGCACCCTGAGGAGACTACCAGTGACAAAACACAAACATGTTGACGAGTATAAGATGCTGCCAGGCAACCCGGGAATCTCATGAAACAAACACACACAAACATACAAAGAGAAAAGAGAGAGAGAGAGAGAGACACCCCGACGCAAAGCAGCTCTTCATGAAGCTGAAATATATTTAATGATGTATTGAGAAACTGAGAAAACGCAGCTGTGGAAATCAGTCAAAAGCCAATAAAGAGCACATCAGAGTCCTCCCTCGCTTGTCATCTCTACACGATACGACACGCTGCTCAGCAACACGCGACTCCGCTGTCCTCGAGTGAACCTCGCTGGCAGGCAGACTGTGTGCGTGTGTGTGTGTGTGTGTGTGTGAGATTGCTTTTACAGCTCCCTGAGGACATGCGCTTTCTAAATCTGCGAGATGGACTGTGTGTGTTTCTGTGTGCCTCGTTGTGAGTGTGAGACTCCTTGCTTTGTGTATAAGGTAAAAATAAAAATCACGTGAGTGCTGTGTCTGTGTCTGATGTCTGAGTACACAAACAAACAGCATGTGAATGTGTTGCAGAAAATGTGTTTATTATAGCAGTTGATGATCGATGCATGTGTGTCTATAGATATGTGCATTTATATATGTTATAAATATTATTGTACCATATTAATGAGCTACATTCTGCTCACTGTACAACAGGTGGACAAAATAACAGACACCTGATGTAATCATTCTCCGACAAGAGTTTGGCTTTGATAGCGACCTCAATTTTGGATTTTGTTCTGAATGTTTTCAAAACGTCTGGCTAATTACAGTCTATCAATCAAATTGAAATATAATTAATATCAACACTTTTCATCTGCATTTTTTTTAGCCAAGACACCAGAGACACACGTGGCGGAAGCTAAAGCCCTAAAAAGCTGCCCGCCTCCTTTCGGTCTGTACGGAGAGAGCTAACTGCGATGGCAGAGCTTTGAGGCAGACTAGCGATCAGCAGCGACCAGTGTCTGGTCTATTAATTCAACATGCCGTGAGCAAGAAAACACACTGCGGGCCAAAGAAAACCATGAAAACCAAACGCTGCTGCAGGCACAGGTTTGGAGACATGACCACACTGACCACAACAGCACAGGAGTTGGAAGCTCAACCAAAATATTTTTAGTGCTTTGAACAGACAAAATTCCTGCTTTATCTATTTGTTTAGAAAACAAATTGCCTTATAGTTTGATCACTTCATGCCTTTTATTATCACAGATGCTCACAGATTTCCCCTTTCCATTGAATGGCTGCTATTAATAATGCATTAAACATCAACGGTTAAAAAGTAACACAGAATACAGTAGTACTTTTATTGTTATTACAATTTTTTGCAGCACCAATAGTTTTACTCGTAGTTGGGTAATATTTCATAAATGTAACAGTACTTCTACTCTTTCCACCCGTGCTGTATAGAAAAGATAAAGTGATGAAGGTGAGATTGAGGAAAGACAAAGAAGGTGAAGCACATCCTAAAATGGACATTTGATGTTATTCAAGCGTTCATGAGAAAATGTGTTAATTTGTCAACCGTCACAAGAGATCAGTGTCCGCTCTCATCCAATAAAATACCCTCATATTTAATCTCTGTGCCGTTAGTCTAAATCATGCCTAGTTCAGTGAATCTCTGTAAAGTTCGACCCTGCAGCCAGAGAAATAACGGCCTCATTAACACCCTCATTAAACCACACCAGCGCCATGGATGGCTGCCACCGCCACCCACACGGGACAGATCCGGCTTTGCACGCTACAGCAGTCAAACCAACTGTGTGATGTGTCCGGTGCACATTTAAAGAGAAGCGATATCTATCCTAGATATTTCCATATGCCAAATGTTTGTCAGAGGCCGGAGGAGCTGGCAGGAGCTTTGGCTCGAGTTACGCGAATTAATCCTACAGTTTCGCTCTTGTAACTCCCCCAGCGATCCACTAACTTCAAACATGCAATCATATAGTTGTGGGAAGAGGGAATGAGGAGGATTTTCGGGGTTGTTGCCACCTGCATACGTAACTAACTAACTGACAGCAGCGTTGCCAGATCAGGAGAAAATACAAGCCTAAAGGGAAATACAGCTATCAAAAACCTCCAAATGGATCCATACTGATTATGACTCCCTCTCAGCAGAGTTTCTGTCCTTCAGCAAAGTTGTATCTGATCTCAAAAAACTTCCACATATAAATTGTGAAGGACTCTTTTATAAGAGCGGGAGCAAGTAATTGACACGGAAATATATGATTATGCATCCTCTAGTCATACTTTATGATTGCAAGACACATTTTTAGATTGCACTATATTTATTTATTACAGACAGTTAAAGTCTGCAGTTCTGGTTTGTGCAGGTTCTGCACTTTGTTAGTTTATGACTGTTTGACATTTGATTAATGGAATATTTGTACATGCTGATCTGTGTGTCACACTAAAACTCCAAGAAACCTGAATGAATGTGAGTTTAAGAGCGGTTTCTACTTTGGGTAATTATTTTTTCATTTGTTTTCTGTTGCTCCAAAGAGGACTGACTCTCTCGTATTACAGCTTTTCCTCTATCATGATTTGCAAATTGTTCTCCTCAAGTTTTACGAGGCATTTTGAGAGTCAGAAAAGTCCACAGGTTATACAGCCCATAGTACCTTAACCAGAAGTTGAAACAACTGAACCAGAACAACATGAAATATCCAAATATGTTAAAACATTTTGGATTTTCAGTCCTGAAATAAAGAGAACCGAGTGCTCAAAGCTTTGGAACGTAGTACAACATACAGAGGTGTTCTTGGAGCCAGTATCTAGTACCTTTACTGTATCTACTGCTTGATAGAGACCTTGATACTATAAGATCTCAAATAAAGGATGTTTCCGAACCTTTCTGACATTACTAACGTCAGTGAGTTTGGAACAGCAGGCACCACAAAGATAAATTAATTACTATGTGCAAAATAATATGATATAACATCATTATAGTGTGTTTTAATTGACTTTAATTGAGTTTTATTCATGTCATGCACTTTTTGAGTCTTACATTTTATATATCTATATTCACATCTCTGTGGTAAAGCTTTACTCCATAAAGATGTTCATAAAGAAAAGATTTAAAGTTTTACACATTAAATTGAACCACATATTGAACAACATATTTTCTCTATACATTTTAACTTCTAATAATAATAAAGAATGAATGATCTCTGTCTGTTGCATCACTCAACCCTCTAATTTCTCACATCCAGACACTGTGGCCGACAAACTCATGAGAGAAATGACTGAAATATACTTTCCAAGGTTAGCCTTTTCACTTCCAAAACTGCTTAAAAAAGTAGTGACTACAGCAGGGGTAAAAAAGTAGCCCCTCTTTTCATGTAGTATTGACAGTCCAAAGTAATGATCAGCTATTTCCAGTTGGCCCACAGAACAGAGCGCCTATCAATCTCCAGGTTTCACACAGAAAGCAGTCAATGAAGGTTCGTCCAGTTCGATCACTGACTCAATACTGCACCGTGCAGCTTTTATCACCTTCGTATTCATACAAACTTCTGCATACATCAAAATGTAAAATAAAAATGGTCCCTAATCACACACGACTGTGGAAGTTGCCAGCGGCCTGATGGACTCGTGGGTGACTGAAGGATTAACTTGACTGACAGCTTGAATGTCAAACTGGGGACATGTGACAGAATAATGTGCTACAAGACTTTCCAAGAAGAGTCTACAAGAAGTATAAAACATTTACATTTTGGGCATGTATGAGATACTTTCATCCAAAGTGATTTATACCTGTTAAAAGCTTAAAATGTTATCAGAAAAAATTGAACAATGGCTCTCAGAGTCAATGAGGGAGTCCCTTCTCGTTTTGTGTGTGGTCCAATAATAGTTTAGCAAGCCTCGGTCAATCAATTGATGTAGATTAGCTAGATAGCTAACATTTTGCTATGATTAGCTAACTTAAGATGTAGCTATTCACGTCTGTTTTGTCGTTGCTGCTAATGCTAACCATAAACTTCCAATGTTAAGTTCTAACATGCTTAGCTGGGCTTTGTGCCCAAAACTGAACATCAACTCAAAGCCTAGCTTAAAGCTTAAGCTGCTTAAAATAAAGAAAATCTGTCAATGTAGAGCTGAGCCGGACAGTTTTTTAATCCATCCAACAAATTTGTTTTCTGATGAACACTGCTGCCACTAACACGACTGGAGCTTTTAGTTTTGTCGAGTATCCAGATTTAACATTCACATTTGGCAACAACACTGACGCACATGCTATAGTTGGAAATCAGGCACAACATCGTTATACGATACAAAAATTGAACAGAAGTCATTTTTTGATTATCATGACTAATAATTGGGGTTATAACTGTGTCTGTGCTTGTTGCTGACCTGTGAGAACACAGTGTTTTGTTCCATACCTGGTGGTGTGTAGGCATCCATTGAGGTCTGGACCACCAGCGACCGCCGCTTTGAAGGCATCGGTACCGCCATCTTCCTCTCTTTGTGCTTGGCCAGAGCTGCCTGCACTGCCTCTGTGTGCACATCTGGAGACACATACAGCAGATATCAACACATCACGTCAGATGTATCTTTCTGAACCTTTTAATTTACAGTTGTACCAGTAAATGATCAAACAACAAAAACCTCTCACAGTGTTTTTCTGAGGATGGATCCATTTAGCAAGAGGCCGAAGACACTATTGTGACTTTTATATGGTGGTTATTTGGTTTTAAAATTTAGATTAAACCCACAGTGGAGAGGATTCCAGTATACTTTATATTTATGTCATTGGCCAGTGTGAGAACTATAACATGGTTTTCAGGGGAGCTAATTTTTTCTCACAAGTTGGTGCCTGACTGACTGACTCACAGTATGCCGACTACAAAGAAGAGCAATGAATAATGGCGATCCAGCGTGCAGACTCAGTTTGGCTGAGAACGTTTGACTGAAAGTGAGGGAAGTTTTTGATATTGCGCCGCTACGCTTCAATGGTCATGGCAAGTATAGCATTCATGCTATGTATACATCTTTAGTGATTTACTGAATAAGATCAACCTCCTGCATGACTCATACATCAATAATAGCTTAATTTTATGCATTATTCATGATTTGATGAAAGATGGAAATTCATAATAAAAATTGTATATTCTCAATATTTTAGAGACCCCCAAAAAGGGGAGTTCATGTGGTTTTCCTGTTGTTCACACCCTGGTGTTACCAAGTTGTGCCATAGTTTTTGCTGCCTGCCAGAAAGCCATTGATTTCCTTTCATTTCTGTGCAGTAATAAAATAATCTTAAAGGTCCAGTGTGTAGGATTTGCATCTAGCAGTGAAACTGCAGACTGATACCATCTGAACAGCCTTCTTAGTGTGTAGGAGAAACTCTGGTGGCCCTGAAACTTGTGTAAAATGCCAAAGGCTTTATCTACAGCAAGTGTTTGTCCATTCTGGGCTACTGTAGAAACATGGTGGTTCAACAAGGTAACAAAAACACAACAATTCTTATTTCAGATGATTATACTTCAATTTCTGACAATAGATCATCCAAATGTTACACACTGGACCTTTGAGTAAAGGGTCTGAGCATTTCTTCCACCACTGCTAATCATAAACACCAAAGAACTAAAAAAAGAAGTTGAATATTCAGGCACAGACAATGGCTGTGGCCAGTGTGAACACAGGGTGTTAAATAATAGAGGAATCAGAAAGTCCATGCAGCCACAGCACTAGCGCTGAGGGACAGAGTAGAAAAACAGCAGCAGGACTATCAGCTGGCCCTCTGTATTTGTGCTGCAGTGTTCTTGTTACAATGAGCGCCGTGTTCCCATTTATTCACATTTGGTTTACGTACACAAACATTCCCAGCTTGACAGCGGCTCCCATGAGGCCCTGTGGTTTCCGACTGGATTAAGTTCAGGGAGTGTCGGCGAAGACATTTTGCAAATGAGTGTTTCTAGGAGCGAGATAAAGCGCTGCGATATAGCCACAGCTGGGTTTGTTTGAATGGTGTCCATTGCTGGCAGAAGGCAAACACAGAGCGCCTAACGATACAGGCTGTTGGCCCGATAATGACATAAGTAAGACATTTGTCAGAATGAATGGGGCTCACAGACGTACGTTTGTTTGGCTTGTGTGTGTGCTTATGTAGGGGAAGGGAGGTAATTTAAATCTCAAGTGCACGTTTATTGTCTTATGGTTGACTGAGTGTGACTGCGCAGTGTGTGAAAGTGAGTGTGTGTGTGATGTTTAAAGGTGCTCACACAGCTTTTCTTTTTCAATGTAATGGGTTAAAAGGTTTTTACAGGATTTATTATTGTCAGATCAAACTCAAACAAACTCAAACTCTAACATAAGCATGTGGGAACCTAATAATAAAGTAAACCTGGTTCAGCAAACAGCTTGGCTGTTTTCTTATTGGACTATCTTTATTATCTCTATTGCTAAATGTCACCACAGTAAATTCTTACTGATTAATTTTGAATGAGATGCCAGTGGAAAGAATGTGCCCAAGTTAAAATCCTTAGTTAATCCTACATTAATATTTACTGGACACCAGATGGAACAAAACCAAACAATGCATGTTGCAAGAGCTGTGACAGATTTGTCAAAAGCTTTATCCACAGGTCTCTGCCAAACTCTGAATTTGCTGCAGCCCATCCTCCAGACAAAGGCTGAGAATATCAAACAGACCACTTGTGTCATAATAGCTGCTCAGGATGACCGTCCTCAGAAGGGATTGGGGTTAAGAGTGGACAAGTGTTCACTGATCCAAACTTTTGTTGCATCTGATCCCAAAACAGATTATCGGAAAATCCTCTTCTGAAACAAATGTGCATGGGAATGGATCTGGAAGGGAAGCTGTAACTGTAATTTAAAAAACACATTAACGTCCAACCATTTATTGTCAAGGTTGTTAGTTTATGTTTAACAAAAAGTTGTTCTGGCTGATTTATCTCAATCAAACTCTCAAATATCGGCATCAGTCGGGCAAGTTACTGAAATATATCAGTTAGTTTCAGTTTCTAGTTACTTTTCTCAAAAGTAATTAAATTACTTTACCAATCACTGCATATAAAATCAATTAGTTACTTATATATGTCTGCTTTAATTCTCTTGAATGCAAACAGTTGTCAGCTATATTAATTTGCTTTCGACAAAAGTAATCTTAATTTCAGTAACTGTAATTGTGTCATTATTAGTTACCCCCAAACGTAGTGGGATTACAGTAACGTGTTAAATCTCTGAACACTTGTTGGGCCACACTGGGGACATTCTGAATCGAGGATAACAAGACAGCTCTTATTCCTCTCATCTTTTTCAAGTATTTACATTAAAGAGCTCCAAACAACTGATGTACTATCACGTTTTACATCATCGTATTATTTATCTTTCAACCTCCTCCACACGTGGTCAAAGAACACCTCCATTATTCCTGCATGTCAAAGATCATATTCTCCCTTTTCTACTGTAGAAAAATGTGTTTTCTATCGGAGTTGATCCACTCAGGTAGTGGACATATGACATTTATTGTTACACAAACCCAAAACCCACAGCAAAAGAACGGGACGCTACCCAAGTCCAAACTCTACTCTGAGTTACTAGGAACCGAGTGTACCCATTAAGATAAGACCTGGAGCTTTTTAATAAGGTGCAGCAGCAAATGTTTTGACATAAAGCACATCATCATCCAGAGTAAGAAGAGGAGCAGAGTGCAGGTGTCTCTGATAGGATGGACCGGTTCAGGACATTACGTATGTAAAGCATTTAAAAATATGTATTTAAAAAAACATTGATCAAGCTTCCTCAGAAACATCATAGAACAATCATAGAAAATAAGATGGGGTGGGGAAATCTTCTCATTATGTCAGCATGTCAGGGTGTTGGCTAATCCATGATCTGCATTCACATAATGATGTGCCATTGCATCCTTTATCCTGAACCCGTCAAGACCTCTAGTTCCCTTTCTCAAGAACTTACCACACATTGGACACATTGGACACAAGGCATTAATAACCAGAGATCATAAATTAAACCATTGATTCAGTATTTAAATTCCTTAGGGACCTGCAAGGGACAGATTAAAAACAAAGCTCCAAAAACCTACCTTTCCCATAATGCAAAATCCAAGTTGGAAACTCAGGCAGGATTGGTCTACAATAAGCAGAATGACCTTTTCATCACATGTTTACTTTATGTAGTGTTGTGCTGTGACAACTTTGCATTGTCATTCAGTTGATTTGTGTTTGACAGATGTCTTTGCGAGCAAGTTTCAAAGTGTGCTAACAAACATATGTTTTCTCAAGCAGATGGACCGGGACGCATTTAAAGCTGGGAAAGTTGGGAATACCTTCCCAGAGCCATCGGAGAATTATACAACTTCAGGTGACGACTTAACGGATTTTGATGTGTAAAATTGCCCCTTTAAGCCAATTAATACACATACACTATATCTATGTATGTATTTCTCTACATATGACACATGGGTGATATTAATATGAACTCCATGCATTAAACTATTAAAGAGTTATAGCAATTATAAAGCAGGTTTCATTATTGATATGCAAATGTATGCAGCAAATTCTAATCACATCAGCACCTTTTTCGGACGAACTTGTGCAGTAAGATTACAATTTTTTTATCATGTGGTGCTTTACTTATCACCCATAACCTACTATGCTAATTAGGTGATTAAAGTAGCTCATTAACATAGTGATTAGAAAACATTTCTTTGCTAGCGTGTCAGATGTTAACACACCATTGGTAATATCACCTCTCATGTAGTTCCAGATTTAGTTCATCTGGTCTGTGTGGGGATAAACTGGGAGTAAGACATCGTCTCAACTGTCCCACAGACGTATAATGGAGGACAACCCTGCCTCTTACCTGATCGGTAACGTTCGTCTCTGGAGCCAGAAGACCGCCGGCGGTGGTAGCGGGAGGACGAGGATGGGGTGACCGGGGTTCTCCTCTCCTGGCCCATTGGCGGATCCATTCCTGGATAAAAAAGGTTCAGATTTAAATCACAGCCCTCATGTTTCCAATCTAAAATCTATTTCACAGAAAAAAACGTTTTTCCTTCTGTGTGTTTTGTATATTTTTGTATAAATGTGCTTTTTCTTAATTGTGTGAAATAAATCATTCATTTCTGACAGAGGTTTTTTAAAATGTGAGGATCTGCTGGTGGTCTACAAACAGAGAGGTTAGTTATTGTAGTTTGGCTGCTGATTTGGCCCCAACACGGTCAGCAGCAGCAGAGGTTCTGAATCTTTCAATCCCCTTAGTGCCCAATTGCTGCAATTTGTGTCAGATTTTGTTCTCCCCCTCTCTGAGTTTACCTACTTTCTTTTCTTACTTTACTTATGTACACATCTGAACACACAGATTCAGAGTGACTTCCACAGGGTATCATTATCTCCAATGTCCATCATAAATAAACATCCATAATGTGCTTAGAAATCATTAAAAAAAGACTCTCCATGTTTGGTTGATTGTGGCGGCCCCTCTGGACAAAAGCAGTAATGTGTCCACCACCTTGTTTTATTTATTTCTAGCGGAATCTGACCGAATCCAACAAGGGGGCAGAATAACTAGAAATAGCCAGTCTTCTCGATGATGGTGTTGTTTGCTTATAGGTCAAATAGAGGCATCATAACAAGTTGAAAAACTCCTTTTAGTAAGTTTAACCAGCAGCATGCCCAGTGGGGGGGCCTGAAATCTGATTGGCTACCACAAGTGCCACCCCATTATCCTTTATACCTCCTCCACTCCGCACTGTGTTTCAGAGGCTGTAACAGGCTCTGTTTTAATGCTAGAGTAAAGATAATAGTATGAAACTAGAAGATGTAAGGCATCCAGCAATGCTAATCCTGTGTTAGCTTGTTGGGAAAGGGGCTAAATAACGCTCCAAAGGTAGGATGTATTTTGACGATGGAAAAACTGGCATGGTAATTTTTAACCTGACCTCTGACCTCAATAATATCTGAATGAAAATGTATTCTATGGGTACCCACGAGTCTTCCCTTTGCAGATATGACCACTTTATGCTAATCCCGAGCAGTTTTGGGAAGAAATACCATATAGTGGTTTTAGCACGTGCTATAAATGTGTTATTTCACGTGTGTTTGAATATGTCTGCATACTGGGGTCCATAAACAAGTATTGGCATTGCATACAGGAATAACGTCAAAGCTGAGACACATACTTCATGACACTCCTGCATAAGTCAGAGTCCCACTTGTGTTCCCCCCAGTCATAGAAGTCTGGACACGAGCTTAACTCTTCAGTATATAACAGGGACTGCTACCGTCAATTCAGCATACTTTTAATGGCGCCAAATTGCCAAAATGTGAAAATAAAATGTGGTGGGAGTGGGAGATGGGTGCAGTTGACTCAGTTTTGTCTGTTTGGGGGGTACAACAGTGTCTGATACTTCAAACTCTTGATCCATGACACAATAAAACCAAACCAAACAGCCTGACTCAGCATGAAACATCATCATAAACCTGCCAACAGCAACAACAACATACACACCCTCTCTGCAAAACTACACTTCCTTAAAGGAAATTCAGTTACTTGAGACAGAAACTACTTTTTTTTTTTTTTTTGCAAAGTACAGACTGTTCAAATAAAACTCATTCAGTTAGATAAAGTTGAGTTCTGGAGATCTATTATCAATTTGCTTCAAGGGCCATTGTGTGCAGAAGGTCGCCACCCAGACCAACAGATATACACTCAGTAGAACAGAAAAGAAAAACACAGTTAATAATAAAACTAAAAATAACAAAAGGCTGAAATATATATGTGGAGTGGGTATGCATTAATAAATAACTATAAATATCTAAAAAGAGAGATTTCTCTTGCATCAAACCTGTCATGTGAGGTAGGTACACACAGACACACACAGTACAAACACACACCAACAGAGAAAACAGACTCCCTACACACCAATCAATACGTCTGATGATAACAACCACCCTGTTACTGACAGCTATGGCCGCTCCAGAGCTGCTGATCTATGAGCATCCATCTCCAGCTTCACACTTCCACCCTCGTCTGTCTTCATTAGAGCTCTCAGCACGCCTCAGAGTATCACTGCTGCTCAGGAGAAAAGCTAAAAGTTGATTAGCCGACCATATAACGACTACCAGCCAGCGCTGGAATATATGACAGGTCTGGGAAATACCTCGCTTTCCTGTTTCCTCTGGGGAGTCTGGATGGATGGATGGATTCTCCCCCTCCCATCCCAACTCGTTCTACTTGCTCTCCAGAAATGTCTTCTTTCTCTCTCATTTCTTCTCACTTAGTGTCTTTTGTCTGCAGATTTTTCTGTTTGTTTGTCTATTTATTTATTAGTCAAAGACAAAGTATAGAATATGTTGAGGCATTTTTACATTTCTATATCTACTGTATGGAACCAAATCCTACTGACTGAAATATCTCAGCATCTACTGGATGTGTTGGTGCACAATTTGGTACACACATTCATGGTTCCCTAAAGATTCATCCTAACAACTCTGATGACTGACACTTTCCATATAGCGCCATCATCAGGTCAATATGTCCAATACTATGTTTTATGGAAATCAGCCTCAGTTGAACTTTGTGTTTATTGCTTATTAGCAAATGTTAACATGCATGTTTGCATGGTGCACCTGCATGTGCAGGAACCAAAACCCTCTTGACTCGTACCCGCAAATATTAGTTATTGTTTGTTTTAAATTCCTAGGTGTCAGATGGGTGAGGTGTGTAACATACCGCTACAGTGGCTGCTGGTAAAGTACAAGTAGGTAACACTGAATAAATAAATCATCTACCTGACATTACTGTGATTCCCCAGTTATACCCCATCCATCTGATACAAACACTCCAAACACTATTTGACCTAGATGTGATAAGACCTCACACACAGGCACACAGTGAAACCTTAAAGGAAATCAATGCAGGCCTCTCATTCATTCCCTTTCTGTCAACCACAGCCGCTCGAAAGACACTGAAGAACTGAGACGGATGAAGTAGGCAACCAGCAGCACCTCAACTGCCCCGAAGACTGCAGTTCCCAGATATTCTACCATGTTTTACTGTACTAAACACACTCCTGCTTTGGACTATATTGACTATTTAACACAGATAACACTTTATTGCCATAGAGAAAACAAGTAACATTTAAGAGAATACAAATACTGTAACAGTACAAATGTTAACAGAAGACTAGTATAAAAATAATGCTAAAAATAAAATCAATACAGTAATTAATAAGTATATTTTAATAATATATATATATATATACAGTATAAAAGGGTATTCAATCTTAAAGAGTTAATAATGTATTCAATTTACTGATGAAAACAACAAAAGCACAGAATAAGCAGATAAACTGTAAATGAATGAATGGAAAGTGGAAAATCTGACTATTTACATGAGAGATTGTACTAAAATTCAACAAAATGTCTTCCATTTTTTTTTCAAACATTTTAAATAGAATTTAAAATATAGTATCATCTCCACAGTCTTGGCTGTTCTAGGTGTATAATTCAAAGTTTTGCAGTGTTCCCAGATGAAAGAAAATGAAAAAAATCTAACAAAGATCTGAATTCTTTGTTAAATAAGTTCACATTACATGGCTCACAGACCGTTTTGAATGAGGGATGAACACTGTGCAAACGTTGTGTGACAGAATAGTACATGAACTGTGTGAGCGGATGATCTCATTTGGGTTACCAGTAATAGATGATGTAGTTAAACCTCTTTTCATGACTTATTACAAACAAACAAAGAATTTAAAACATGGCATCAGTCGGACTGAAAGGTAACTCATATGACAGGTTGGTTTGGTTGGTGATCTGCATTTTTAAGTGCCAGTAACAATAAAATACTTGAGCATTGGAACTGACACCAAAACAGTACTTTACTGTGACCCAGTGTTTGGTTTGTCTGTTCTGTTTGCTACTGTAGAAACATGAAGTTCAACATGACGGCCTCCGTAGAAGAGGACAGAAACACAAAGATTCTTCTTTTCAGGTAATATACACTGATGGAAACAAACCTATGAAAATGATATCCCATTATTTCCAATAGAGTCTCCTAAATGTTTCACACTGGACCTAGAGACTGAAATATCAATGAAGATGTAAACAGAATAAATACACCTACATTATACACATGTATCAAACTGAACCAGACAAAACTTAATAAAGTTACTGAGAGCTCAAAATGTATCTAGTGGTCATCAACTCATCACAAACAAAACAGCTGGTTATAGATATTAAGTCGATTTAACCTCGTAAATCTTGACAGACGGCTAGAAACATGATGGAAATTGTGATTTGGAGAAAACCTCCTTTTTATTGCTCAATCACACTGTTTTATGTTTAGCTTGAAACGAAAACTTTTAAAGCGTCCAAGGGCTGGTGGTCTATGTTGGACTGAAACAGGTTCTCATCAGTCAGAATGAATTGAGCCAAATCTGCAAATCTGGAGCTTGTTTTCATTGGTTCAGAGTGAAACTACTCTCAGACCACATGACATACATATTGGACCAAACACAGATAAACATATACACATAAACCCCATTTATTACCACTGGATTGTATTGTTATTTCAGCCATTACATTTAGAGCAACATAGTATGATTTTAATCTACACAAATAAAAGTTGAATTTGTAAGCACCGACATACAGCCAAGTAAAATAAATATGCAAGGAGTGCAGAGGAGTTTTTATTCACAGCTAAGAAAGTGATATATACAGAACAAGACATGGAAAATCAGGTATTGTTATTTTACTTTTAACAAATTTTGCAGTCTTCACATACTGGCAAGGATACTTTAACGTTTGTTACTATTGGTACAATCCACCAACTTCAAATGTAAGCAGCAGCATTTTTATGATGACACACCGCATGTGTCACATTTACTGTAAGAAACCAGTTTTCTTTTTTCTTTTCCTGTTTGATAAAACTGTCACAGTAGTTAGTGCCAACTCACTGACCAATATTCA